GGTAAAGCAGAAGGAAACTACGGCATTATAATGGAGACCATTTTGGCCTGCGTTGCTGTAGGAATTAAGTGGCTCAACAAAATCTTCCAAGAAAAGCTTGAGAGGAGAGGAAAGCACCAGAAGACGGGATAAATGCATTAGTAATGCCCATGGAAGAAGAAGGGTGTGAAAAAAAGGCTACATCATATACAGAGGTGTCTCACTACTCACCCACAAAGGGAAAAGGTACACAAAGGTCGTGGAGCAGCGCATTCCAGCAAAAACCCATCACTTACTTAGTGATGCTCAGTTTGGCTTCAGAAAAGGATGCACCGATTCAATTACTAACCCACTCCCCTACTCCCCCGACAACTGATTGAGAGAACGATAGAATACAATGGACATCTCCATCTTGCATTCGTAAACCATGAGAGAGCCTTATACAGAGTCAACTGAGACGAGCTGCAAAATTACTGGAGTAGAATGACATCAAAGGGATGCGTCTGGATAGCATTTGAGCGATTTACAGTAACAGCAAGAGCGATATCGAAGTCCGTACAACAAATAGCATATCTCACAGGTTCCCAATAACAAACGGGTTCAAACAGGGATGCATTCTCTACCACCACTTTTTGTCATCTATATGAACAAGATAACAAAAGAGGCCAAGAACGGCACTCAATAACTAATTGTTTGTAGACTGTCAGTCGGTTTTAAAGAACAAGGTTGTGCTACAAGAGCATACAGGCTATTTCAGCGCTTGCTGTTTGCAGTACAAAAGTAAGAATTAGCCGGAAACCTGAAAAACTAGGTATCGGTATCAACTGATTCCAACTGAACCAAGCCAGTAAACGTAAATACCCTGGGGCCCTAAAGCTAATTCAGCCAGTTATCAGCTCGCTCCTCTTCTGGTACACCCAATGACCCCACTGGACACTAAGGCAAAACTCAGCAATGCCATATGTATACCAACATTATCCTACTAGTCTTTGATCCATGACAAAAGTACAGGAGAGGAAGCTGACCACTAGAGAAACGAAATGCTTGAGGAGAGCAATGGACAAAACCATGAGAGACTAGATCACGAACGAGGTGATCAAAGACTCAGTAGGAACAAAACCAGTCCTCCGCCATTTTGAACAACAGAGAGGTGATAAATAGTTTTCTAAGAATTACAAAGCTCTATCTTCTCAGTACTTGATTTTGAGAAATTCAACAATTTTGAGTTTTTACATGTCGAGCTTTTTCCAGATGCAATACTTTGAACATCTTGATAACAACTCATGGTCGTGATAACTCAAAAATGTCAGAATGAACTTTGTAATTCTGAGGTAGCGAAGTGGTTCAGGCATCTCTCAAGAATGCTCCCACACCAACCGGTATTGCGCGCCTATAATAGGCTACACTCTGGTTGGAGAAACAGAAGGAGGCCAAGACATCTCTGGATGGATTGTGCTATGGGCACCCTCTGAGCCCACGATATAATCCTCCTCCAACCCACTTGACCCGCAGTAACAGATGATTGCTGCTCCCAGTGACACCCATCGGTACCACAGAATGAAAAATTCAAGTAAGTTAATTAAGAAATAGTGGGGAAAGTTTGCTTGAGCTCTCCATTCAGAACTTTCTTGACTTGCTGCGCATTTTCGGCCGTGTCTCCGTTTTCTGTGGCGCTACAAATGAAAGGTCGCCGTAACGTGAAAGGAGAAGGGGAAAAAAGGGGGGGGGGGGGGAGTCTGGTAGACTTCAAGCATAACAATTCAGTATTTGTATTTTCAGCTGTTGTACTGCCGCTGCTGCTGCTGCTGCTGTTACTGTTGCTGCTGCTGTTGCTGTTGCTGTTGTTGTTGTTGTTACCTTTGTTGTTATAGTTATTGTTGCCGTTGGTATTGGGTATTTTTCTTGTTCTACTTGTTCTCTCTGAGGGGGGGGGGGGTTCTTGCCCTACCTCTTGTTCTTCTCCTTGTTGTTGTAGTTCTACTACTACTACTACTACTACTTGTTTTTCTCCTCAACCTCCTCGCCCCCCTCATCCTCCTCCTCTTCCTTTTCCCTCTCGGCACCAACAGAAATACTGTATCGACCCCCCCCCCCCACACACACACATCGATACAGCAAGTTGTTTACCTGCTGCAGCTCCTACAACCGCCGCCTCATGCGTGAGGGACGAAGGAAAGACAGCGTGCGTGCACTTTCCCGCCGTACGCCCGTGAGAGCCTGGGGGGGAGGGAGACCTCAAACTGGCCTGGCCCCCGCGCGCGAGAGAATTAATCGTCCGTTGCGCGTCCTGTTTCCTAGAGTAACGCTCGGTGCTACAGTTAGTACTGCAGAGCTATGACAAGCGGCCAGTGGCTACTTATTAGGGCATACCCGATGTTAAGTGACCGCGTTGCTTTCTCGAGGATTTTGGCATTGTAATTGTGTTGTTTTGTGGTGGTGGTGGTGGTTGTGATGGTGGATGTTTTTGCTTCTGTTCAGCTGTTTTCTGGTTTGGCTTTTCAAGTTTGAGGCTGTGCGTGTGAGGTAAACATTGTGGAAAGTGTTGTTAGAGTGTTGAAGTGGTGTGCGGATGATTGAGAAAAAAATGGGTGAGGAGGGTGCGGAGGATGGGGTGAGGACACTCTCATGCATTTTCTGGTGCCGCGCCCTATTGCACGCAAACAAACACGCACTTGCATGGCCTCAAAGGTATACCCAAACACATGCACACATCTAGGAATGATATTATTAAGCACAATAAATATTCTCTCTCTCTCTCTCTCTCTCTCTCTCTCTCTCTCTCTCTCTCTCTCTCTCTCTCTCTCTCTCTCTCTCTCTCTCTCTCTCTCTCTCTCTCTCTCTCTCTTTCACACACACACACACACACACACACACACACACACACACACACACACACACACATACACACACACACGCACAAACACACACACACACACTAACAAACACAAGCACTTGTACACAAGAACACCAACGCGCAGACACACACACGCACACAAACACACACACACACACGCACACACACATACACACACACACACACACACACACACATAATACACTCACACACACACACGCAAACACACGCACGTTGCACGCAGGCACGCACGCATACACACAAACGCCTTATATAATTTTATCATCGCACAGGTAAATAAATCTGAAGGGAAAGTACAGAAACATGCACATGCGGTGTGTATATTATTGCAATGCTCGGAGAGAGATAAAGAGAGAATGCCAAGGTCCTCAGATTTCATTGTTGTTGCTGTTGTTATAATTATTATTATTATTTATTATTAATGTTATTATTATTATTATTATTATTATTATTATTATTATTATTATCATCATCATTATTATTAGTGTGGTTGTTGTTGTTATTATCTTTATTCTTATTCTTATTATTATCATTTTTAATATTATAGACAGAGTGGGCGCTCAGTTGATATAACCCTGAATTACGGATCTGATCGATCTGGTTCAAATCCCAAACTGGGCACTCTTGAACTCGGGTTGTTTTTGAGGAGTTTTCAAGGCTCTCAACTTCGGCGAGCTCTCGACCAAATGCCTCTTCCATATAAAATTGTAAACGGGCGTTGTATTCTGAGGACCTGCCTCTTAAATAACCTAATAATTTTGTTGATAGGGGTGTTACCCATACACGTTACTATAAACAGACTGACAGTCTGTAAATACCAAATAGAATTGTAGCTTAAACACTCGTTGATAGAGAGATGAACAAACTAACAGCCGGTCAGTTAGACAGACTCACGGGATATCTGGGTGGAACGAACGGATTCATAGTTTAAATACACGCAGAAATAGACAGACTCAGAACCTGTCAGAAATATAGACAGCGCAGTCGGCAATCGGACAGACAAACGGGCAGACAGGAAAAAGTTTGCAGGATTATAAATACTAGTAGTAATAGACGAATAGATAGACAGGGAGACAAACAGACAGTCAGATAGACAGACAAGAAGAGAAATAAACACTAGTAGATGAATAGATAAAAATGAGATTGCAAAATAGTATACACGCGTATTATATAGACAATCACGCTGGCTGTCAGTCAGATAAATAGACAGACTCGAAGACAGGTAGAAAGTTCATGTGATGAATTATTTCGTTTGCAAACGTCACACGTAATGCTGGGTCCAGACTGAAGACAAAGTCCGGTATGCCATCATTAGTAATCCATAAGGAGGACAGCCTGCATGTAATAAATGTATAATAAGCTATGGGTGACAGGAAACGTTCAGGATAATTATATATCATAATATATACATAACACATTCATAAGAATCAGATGTATACGTATATATATGTTATATATACATATATATAAATAATATATATAATATAGAGGTTTTTTAGCATCCGTGGAAAGGAATGAATGGCAAACCATGAGCGTCGACGTCTGTCGCAATGTCGTGCTTGATGAGGATAATAATATAATATATAACATATATGTAAAATATATGACAATGTACGTACGTGTAGGAAACGAGACAGTGCTAGGCTCTGTGTCAGTGTGACCCCTGTCTGTGAATGATGACCGCTGCGAGAGCTGACCTTTACAAGGGCCAGAGATGTCACACATTCCCCTTGTTCCCAGGATGACCTGGCCAGTCTCATTTGTGTCACCAGATAGACATTTCCTCGTCAGCAACCGCCCTTTGTAGTGGCAAATAGAGGAAACTATTTCTACGACGTATTATTATCATTATTTAGGCCGTATTTACTCTGCGCGTCTTTGCAAGTGATGAGTCACGTGCTGACCAAGAGAAATTTTGAAATCTTATTTATTTAAATCGCTCCGTCCCTTTTCTTTAAAAATGGCATTGTTGTTATCATCATCATCATCGTCACTATTATGCACCAACAGAAATACTGTATCGACCCCCCCCCCCCCTAACACACACATCGATACAGCAAGTTGTTTACCTGCTGCAGCTCCTACAACCGCCGCCTCATGCGTGAGGGACGAAGGAAAGACAGCGTGCGTGCACTTTCCCGCCGTACGCCCGTGAGAGCCTGGGGGGGAGGGAGACCTCAAACTGGCCTGGCCCCCGCGCGCGAGAGAATTAATCGTCCGTTGCGCGTCCTGTTTCCTAGAGTAACGCTCGGTGCTACAGTTAGTACTGCAGAGCTATGACAAGCGGCCAGTGGCTACTTATTAGGGCATACCCGATGTTAAGTGACCGCGTTGCTTTCTCGAGGATTTTGGCATTGTAATTGTGTTGTTTTGTGGTGGTGGTGGTGGTTGTGATGGTGGATGTTTTTGCTTCTGTTCAGCTGTTTTCTGGTTTGGCTTTTCAAGTTTGAGGCTGTGCGTGTGAGGTAAACATTGTGGAAAGTGTTGTTAGAGTGTTGAAGTGGTGTGCGGATGATTGAGAAAAAAATGGGTGAGGAGGGTGCGGAGGATGGGGTGAGGACACTCTCATGCATTTTCTGGTGCCGCGCCCTATTGCACGCAAACAAACACGCACTTGCATGGCCTCAAAGGTATACCCAAACACATGCACACATCTAGGAATGATATTATTAAGCACAATAAATATTCTCTCTCTCTCTCTCTCTC